TTTTCAATCAACTTTGATCAAGTTGGTCCAACTTAGGTGCAAAATGATTCTTATAGACTAGCTTATTCTCAACATGCACTATCCCAAAAAACCGAAATATTCATTTGAAAGCTGCGTGAGTGAAAAAATTGAAGAGCTAAGAGCATCTCATTGTTAAAAACTTCATGCCTCATGCCAATAGATAATTGGACTGTAACCACTTAGAATCGTTGTTCACTTAATGAGTTATAACAGTCTACTACTCTCTCTACTATCTCCCATGCATTGTTTCATTCAGTCCTTGTATGTGTTTATTTTTATATACACAAAAAAAATAAATAAATAATAATAATAAAGATTAACTAACTTAATTCGATAAAACTTATCAAGACTCCAATTTGACAAAAAACATATAATAGAGCCAAATAAATAATAAAATTGGAGAACATGTGCACACTTATTTTTTTAAAGAAATAATGAAATTTTAATTATTGTGTTTGTGTTCATTGTTTTGAATGAAACGAAATTGAAAACATAAATTGTGAAAAAAATAACCAAATAAATATTAAAGTAGTTTAATATTTTAAAATGTTAAAATCATAATTACATTTGTTCTCATTGTTATTTTCATCTACACAAATAAAATAAATAAAAAAATAATTTGAAGAAATATTGAAATTTTAATCATCGGTAATTGTTTGAATTAACAAATGGCTTTCATCTTACCATTGGTACAACAATAATAACAACATAGCCTTTAGTCCCAAGCAAGTCGGGGTAGGCTAGAGATGAAACCCAAGAGAAACACAAAAAGACTCGAACCAAAAGGAAGAGATCGAGAAAAAAAAAAAAAACGAGAGAGAGAGAGAAAGGAGCAAAAGTCACGGTTCTGGCACGTTGATAGTGAGCCTCCAAGCGCTCCTATCCACCGCTAAATCTTTGGAGATATTCCAATCTTTAAGGTCTCTCTTAACCGACTCTTCCCAAGTGAGTTTAGGCCGACCTCTACCTCTCTTAACATCCTCGACCCGCTGTAGAACTCCCCTACGCACCGGTGCATCAGGAGGCCTCCGTTGGACATGTCCGAACCACCTCAGCCGATGTTGAACCAATTTCTCCTCAATTGGGGCCACCCCGACCCTATCTCGAATATCCTCATTCCGGATTCTATCCCTTCTTGTGTGCCCACAGAACCAATGCAACATACGCATCTCTGCTACACTTAGTTGTTGGACATGTTGCCTTTTTGTAGGCCAACATTCAGCACCGTATAGCATCGCCGGGCGAATCGCCGTCCTATAGAACTTACCTTTTAGCCTTTGTGGCACCCTCTTATCACAGAGAACGCCCGACGCATGACGCAATTTCAACCAACCGGCTGCAATTCTATGCCTAACATCAGCATCAATGCCGCCATCCTTTTGTAGCATCGATCCCAAATACCGGAAAGTCTCCTTCTTGGCCACCACTTGCCCGTCAAGGGTAACGTCACCATCATCATGTGAAGTCATGCTGAAAGCGCACGTCATTTACTCGGTCTTAAGACCTACTAAGTCTGAAGCCTTTCGACTCTAACGCGTCCTTCCACAGCTCCAACTTCCTATTTACCCCTGCTCTACTCTCGTCAACTAGCACCACATCTTCAGTAAAGAGCATACATCAAGGGATATCACCTTGTATGTCCCTTGTGACCTCATCCATCACGAAGGCAAATAGATAAGGGCTCAATGCTGACCCCTGATGTAGTCCTATTTTAATTGGGAAGTCGCTGGTGTCGCCCCCACATGTTCGGACACACGTCATCGCATCCTTGTACATATCCTTGATGAGGGTAATATACTTAAATGGGACTTTGTGCTTTTCTAAGGCCCACCACATGACATTTCTCGGTACTCTGTCATAAGCCTTCTCTAGGTCGATAAAGACCATGTGCAAGTCCTTCTTTTGGTCCCTATATCTCTCCGTCAACTGACGTATTAGGAAAATCGCCTCCATGGTCGACCTTCCAAGCATGAACCCAAATTGGTTTTGGGTCACACTCGTCACTCGTCGTAGGCGATGCTCGATAACCCTCTCCCAGAGCTTCATTGTATGGCTCATCAACTTAATCCCACGGTAGTTATCACAGCTTTGAACATCTCCCTTGTTCTTGAAGATCGGTACTAAAGTACTTCTCCTCCATTCATCAGGCATCTTGTTTGACCGGAAAATGAGGTCAAAAAGTTTAGTTAGCCATGCTAACGCTCTGGCGCCCAAGCATCTCCACACCTCAATGGGGATACCATCAGGGCCCATTGCTTTACCTCCCTTCATCCTCTTCATAGCATCTTACCATTGGTAAGATGAAAAAATAATAACAGTCTACTAATTTGAAAAAATAATCTTTTTGTGTTGAGCCCTTTTTGTGTTTCTCTTACCATTGGTTCTCTTGGGTTTCATCTCTAGCCTACTCCAACTTGCTTGAGACTAAAAGGTTATGTTGTTGTTGTTGTTTGAATTAACAAATGGCTTTCATCTACACAATATAAAATAAATAACAAAATTAGAAAAACTATATGTGCTACCTAATAAAATTGGGAAAATTAGTGGTGCTTTTTTAATCAAAGAATAAATTATATGAAAAATATAAAAAAAATAAATTATTGATTTGGAGATCCACAAATTAGGTGCAGTTTAATAAAAAATAAATTATTGATTTGGATATACACAAATTACGTGCTATTTAATCAAATAATAGATAATTGATTTGGGAATCAAGTAATATTTATTTGTCTAGCCACTCAATTTGTCTTTCATACCGAAAGTAGTTTTTTAACATTATTTTTTAGAGGTTCCCACGGTTTAAGGGGGCTGTATTCGTTTGGGATTTCGAGTGACATTTTGAGACTTTTTAAGATTTTCAAAATTTGGAGGAATCATGTGAAATCTTAAGCTTGGAGGTGGAATTTTGAGTCAGATTTCGTATAAGGTTTTTTTCTTTAGAAATCTCAACAAATCTTAAAGTCTTAACAAATTCTAGTTTCAAATAAGTTAAATATCTCAGGATTTTGTAAGACTTTTTAAAATCTCAAACGAATACTGTAATATGTTTAAATAAGTCTTAAAAAGTCTAACTTAAATACACTAGGATTTCTAAAGTCTAAATTGGGTTATGCTGTTTTACAGTCTACTTTCAAACAGTAGACTTGATAGTAGTCAAGTCACGTCACATAAATATTGGTTGATAGTAGTCAAGTCATGTCACATAAATATTCCCATTGAAGAGAAAAATATAAGGACATTGTCTACAATGATGACATGACATTTATTTTTCAAACTTGACAGTAATGCATTAATGCATTGGAGATGCTCTAAGGATCTATAAGATCGCTAACCCCTAAATTTGCTCAATCCAATATATAATGTGCCTATTTTTTTTCTCACAAAACCGGTTTCAAATCTGTTACGATAGATCGTACGTGCTCTGGATGGTGACTCGTCACTAGAGGACTTGAATGAGGGCGTTAAGCCGGGGCAAAGCCAAGCCTTCAACTCGAAGAGCTACGACACAGTGGCCTACAATGCCGACATGATGATATTCCGGAAGATGGTGATGCCGAGCCAGGAGTTCAACAACACTGAGTATGGGGCCACTAGTGAGTACGGTTTAAATCCTTCATCCTCGTCCGCCACTGACTCTGCAGAGCTCGATTTAGAGAGCCCCCAAAAGCAAAATCGATAAGATGAGGTTGGTATATGACCATGTTAAGAGGCCATGAACTAATCTATTGCTTGACAATTTGGAAAGGAGATGTGAGTTGATTTAGCTGAAACAACTCATGTATTCTTTTGGCTTTTGGTTGCTCTTTCTTTTTTGTAAGTATGATTTTTGTTTGGTTGGTTTTGTTACAAGAAAATGGATTTGGGCTTATTTTATGTAGTGTGGTTAGGTTTGGGTGTAGTGTTTTGTTGGAGATGATTTGAACCTTTTTGATGTTTATTGATAGGAATTTGGGGAATATATAGCAGACCCTATGTTATATGAAACTTGGGTGTTTTCCTCTTTTATCACTTTCTGGAAAACTTTGTTGTTGTGTGGGAACTCTCCCAAGTTTAGTTTGAGATTACACGGACTGTTATTTTGACCCGATTCCTTCATTTTGGCTCTTCAAATCTATCTTTATATTAAAGGGAATCCTATTTACCAAATTTAGTAGTTAGAAAAGTCAACAACATTTATTGTCATTACTATTTCCGTATTATACAGTTTTATTTAATATTTGTTTTTCTGTTACGATTTTTAAAAACAGATATGGTCAAATTATCTCATCATTAATTACTTTCCATTAATTACAATTTATCTATTTATTATTTTCTTAGCAAAAACGGACCAACATTAATTGATTTTTTTAAAATGTGGAAGTTGTTGCTTTATTTTTGTACAAAAAATCGGGCTTCATTATAGAAATTTGTTCAATTACACAATAATTTTCTATGATATCATTATTTTTTATGGAAACTTTTTTTTAACAGAAAAATATGGCATTTCAATAAGATTTTCGATTTTTTAAGACTGATCGTTATCATGCTATGAAATTGAACATTCCAATATACCTTAACAAAATATACACGTGGTGTATACATCAGTTAATAGAAATATCGAATTCTCATATTTTTATATATATGTATGTAATTTTTCTATTACCAAATTTAATTGATAGTTGTTGTGTTATGGGTTTTTTCATAATTGTTACTTGGTTGTTGTGATATTTAGTTTGGTTGGTGTCGCAAAAATTCTAATCTATATATATAATAAGAATAATCATTACAATGCATATTAGAAAAATATTGATATTAGAAGAGATTGAGTTCATGGCTTTTCTTAAATCAAAGTTGTTTAATTAGTATACAAAATTAAATTCTAAAAAAATATATGTGTCTATTTTGTACATTATTTATACACTATTTAATTTTAAATTTATTTACATATTTTAAATTGATTACTTATATAAATAATACCAACGTGTATTAAATATATTTCATTACATAAAATAAAAAGAACAAGAAGACGTGTAACTTGTATAATTTTATAAATAATAATGATATTATATGGCAACAGAGTTTAATAATTAACTATTATATAGTGAATAAGAATAAGTAAAATTGTTATTTTCTTTTATATCAAGGAATAAATATATATAATAAAATTAAATTTATATTAGTATAAATCTGTTAGTGAGATAATATATTAATTATTTTACAAGTTAGCCCTAACATACTCACGTTTAATGTTCTGACTAATAAAACAACGCTGATTAAAAGATGTGAAAAATAGATTACAACCCTATTTTTTTAGACTTAACGGTGATTAAAAGAGGTAGAAAATAGATGATAACTCTTTTAAGACTTAAACGAGACTTAACGGTGATTAAAATAGGTGGAAAATGGATAATAACCCTTCTCAGACTTAACGGACAGAGCCTGTGAAAATAATTCATTTAATATCTCTCTCGTGCATCGCACGAGGTACGTACTAGTTGCTTTTTACATAGAATTGAACTTAACTAGTTAGACATACGCGCGTTGCGTAATTTTCTATATCTATGCTATTTTAAAAGGATGAGTGTTTTTGTAAAAAAAAAAATGAAGTACCTACAAAAAATTATTTGACATATTTTTAATGACAAATTAGTAATACACTAATATTCATTATATCTAATATTTTTAACCAATAACTAATATTTACCTAAAAAATACTTACTTTGACATATTTTTAATAACAAATTAGTAATGAACTAATACACATCTTATCATATATTTATAATTAAAAACTAATATTAATCAATTAAATATAAATACACAAACAAAACATTCCACATCTCCTAAATATCAACCATAATATTCTGAACAATTATTTCTCACGAACCTGCTTTCTTTCATATATAACAAATATTTATTAATTAGATACAAATACAGGAACAAAATATTTCATATCTTCTAAAAATCAACCACAATATTCTCATATCATTATTTTTCACGAATTTGCTTTCTTCTAAATATCTTCCGGACTTTATTCTTTCACTTCTCCTAGAAATCAACCCAACATCAACCAAACAACAACGCTTTGAAATGAGAAAGAATTGATAATTTGAAAGACAATCATTATTTTTAATATAATTTTAATGGTAAAATCGTAATTATATTTAATAGTTCTAATATATAAAAGTTATGTTAAGAAAATGATCAAACAAAAACAAAATAATAAATTCTTCTAACGAATTAAAATATTTTTAACTATTTATTCGCATCTACAATTTTAACAAACTAATAAATCTTGGTAAAAAAGGACAACGTAGTTGAGAGGATAAATAATTTCAAATGTATATATATATATATATATATATATATATATATATATATATATATATATATATATATATATATATATATATATATATATATATATATATATATATATATATATATATATATATATATATATATATATATATATATATATATATATATATATATATATATATATATATATATATATATATATATATATATATATATATATATATATATATATATATATATATATATATATATATATATATATATATATATATATATATATATATATATATATATATATATATATATATATATATATATATATATATATATANTCCTATATATATATATATATATATATATATATATAATTTCAATTGAGAGAAGATACCTAAGCATTAAACAAGTTATTAGACACATAAGTATTGCACATTCGAACTAATGTGAAAGGTATTATGATAAACAACTCTAAAATTATTGCAACAACCGAGATGGTTAATAATTTGCATGCAAACAATAGATTATGCGGTTCTTCTATCTTTCAAATAAATAACATTGAGAAAGAGAACGTCGGATCCTGTTCAAAATATTTTTGAATGTTTGAATGAAGTTGTCACTGTTTGATATGAATATTTGCAATCTCATTGGTATTGTGCTCGAACATATGTGCAATTACTTTGGAGTACCAGATGTCGTTTACAAACCGACTTAACATCAACTATGAAAATTCTAGCTAAACTATAGCAAGTAAGACAATAATGATAGCATTCTACATCCTTCTCTCCATTTGCTTATTGCGAACAACCAGTGAGATATAAGTTTGTCGTCAATCTCCACTCCTCACAAAGTACTAAATAAACAAAGATGGAAACCGCAAGATTCCTTCATTAATTAGAAGGTGCAGCTAAATAATATCTCAAGCTCGCTCTCACACCGATAAAGCCAAGATGACTTCAAACTACACTAAACCAACTCCATAGGCTAAAGTAAATTCAATCTACGTTCAATAAGCAAAACTTAGTTCTCAGATGTAACACAAAACAAAACAAAACAAGACCATAATCCCATGCAGGACCCTCACTTCCTTTCATTTACACTGTCGAAACTCAGTAGGCGGCATAAAAAACTCGGTCTTCAAACCCGACACGTTAAAATCGACCTCCTCCAACTTCCACGACTCCTCCAGCTCCCGTTTATGGTTCGCCGACTGCTCCCCGTATCTAAAAACCGTGAAGAACGTCTTCCCACTATGCGCGATATTCACGCCGTCCACATACTTATAATCCTCGATCACCGACTCAGTGCTTGTCTCCCAAAACACGTCCCCATCCTCCTTGCTCGTCTTCACCGAAAGCAACCTTGAATCCTCAAATTTCACGAGCAATCCAGATCTCTGGCTAAAGTAACCCCAAACCGTGTGGTGGATTATCTCGTATTTGGGCCCACTTTGGGCCTCCAAGCTCGACTGGCTCGCGTCCAACTTAAGTATAAAACAATCCTCGTCGTTTATGATCTTTTCCCCTATACACACGGCGTCTATGAAGAGATTAGCCGTGGCCCGCGGATCGAGACCTTGTAAGAATCGGCGTAGAGGTCTCGGTTGGCCCATCGAGATCGGTCTCCGTTGGTTGGAAGATTGTCTCCATGAAATTTTGCCATTGCTGCCGGAGATGACTTTGCAGCCGGAGATGAGAAGCTCGAGGCACCACTTGTCGGGATTCTTTTGCCACAAAACGAAACCTCCAGACTCTTCGCTGCTTCTGACCTTGACGTTTTCGTTGCCTTGGTGAAATTCGGAGGCGCCGATTTTGACCTGACCCATCACGCACATGCTGTTCACGGCGTTCAGGGCCGCCTGGCCGCCTGTGGCCGCTACGTACTGCTGAACGATGTACTTAGCGGTCGAGGCTTCCTAGGGCAAAAATTATACAAATAAAATAATATATAATGAAGTTTTGATTGCTTGCAAAGAAAATAGGAAAAATCGCACTTTTCGTCCACTGATTATACCCTCGTTGCACTTTCGTCGTTTATTTTTTACTTTTGGTACACTGATATTTTTTTTTCCGGTAATTTTAGTCCAAGTCGACATTCCGGTGCTCATTTTTGCCGGAAAAGTTGATGTGGTGCGCAGTCAGATCGTAATTTTCCGGCAAAAATAAGCACCGAAATGTCGATTTGGACTAAAATTACCAAAAAAAAAATGTTCGTGTATCAAAAGTAAAAAAAAAGAAACAATTAAAGGACGAAAGTGTAATTTTTTCCTAGAAAACATATATGGGATTGAATAAAAAGGTATAGGTACTGACAATGGAGGAATGCTTGATGGCACGGTGGATGGAGTGGCCGACCTCGACTTGGAAGGGTATGAGAGGGGAGCCCACAATGTAGAGAAGGAAGCTCATCTCATTGTAGCGGGCTGCGATGATAGGGGAAGACCACTTGTCAGGCGTTTGGGCCTTCATCCACGTGGCCATGTTTTGCCACCTCAGCGCCACACTGTTGCCGAGGCCGGCGAACATTTCCTCAGGGATTGGAACCTCAAGTACCGTCTCTAGGAAGTCTTCCCGGTCGAAATTCGGGCACATCCTTCTCATCACATTCTTGTGTCCCTTGTTCTTTTGAGCATGGGACATTTTTTATTTTTTATTTTTTATTTTTTTTTTTGTGTTTTTGTCTTGATGGTTGCAACTGGGAAAGCTGGTGTGCTTCTCTTCTTCTTCTTCTTCTTCTTCTTCTTCTTCTTCTTCTTCTTCTCCTTTGTGNGCTAGGCGATGGTCTGGGGCTTAATACCTAGGGTGGGTACGCAGGAACTAGGCAGACAGGGTCGAGATTTTACTAATAAATTTATTTATATTTATTATAATACATAATTTATAAGATAAATTATATAAAATATATTAATCTATATATAATCGATGGCAAATCATTTAGTAAAACCTCTAATGTGTTTCCGCCAAAAGCCGTTACAATTCGATTTATTACCTATTTATATATAATTACTAATAAAAAATTTAATAAAATTATTTGTTGTTTTCCGCTTTTTTCCGCTACAATTTATTATTATAATTATTTTTATTTTTTTACATTAATGCACCCTATCCCATTAATAATAAAATATTTTCTTTTTTGCATCTTTTTTTGAGTTTATTAAGACAAAAACCGTTACATTTTATATTAATTGAGTAAATATAATAATTACATTTCTTTTATGGTATCATATAATAGTTATTGTTAAAATTAATAATTATATTTTACACTAAATGATATACGAATATTACATAAACATAAAAAAATATATTGTAAAACGTTTTGTTCAAGTTAATTATTCTAAAATCAAATATATATATATATATATATATATTTGTAATTTTAAGGGATCATGACTAATTAATTAGCTGAATAATATTAAATTTACTGTAACAATTACTTATGCAATTTTAAAGGATTTTACTATAACATTAAAACAAAATAATTTATTTAAAAATAATAGTTTAATCAGATAAAAATATAATATCATTATCTAACTTATATATATTTTTAATATTATATGCATAAGTATAATCTATAATAGTCTGTTTAAAATAAATATCATTATTTAACTTATTATTTTAATATTATATGCATAAATATAAATTATTATATTTTATTTACATCTGTGCAAATGCACAGAGTCAAATGCTAGTTAATATGGTCAACTACAAGGATTATGCAAAATTTATTACATTCATAATTATTGCATTAATTGTTATATAATTATTATTACTTTTGTTATATAATTAATATAAATTTCATGAGTAAAACTTAAAATTATTTTTATTTATTATATTAAATTAAAAAAAAAATACAGGCGCCTAAATGACGCAAAGACCGGCTAGGCATCTTCCTAAGCCGACTAGCCTGCCTACGAGAATAGATTCACAACCGCTTAGTCTGCCTAGGCACCACCTAGTCGTCCACCTAATTATTGTTTGACCCTGAATCTTTAATTTATAAGTATTAAGTATTGTTTATCTTATTTTTTTATTTATAATTATTTTTTTTGCTTCCTCTTTTTAAATAGGAACAATAGTAGTTTCCACTTCCGTCATTGAGTGACTCAAACGCGAGGTCTATTTATAATATTATTAATTTAATATTGTTTCCGTGCATCGCACGAGGTATGCACTAGTTGTAATTGCCGGTCGTATAAAAAAAAGTGTTTTATAACTCGTATAATGAGTGTCCAAGAAAGTTTGACACGTAGGTGGGGTAATTTTCTCTATATTTTTAGCCTATTTCCAGTCCTAATTTTTCTTCCCAATCGCGCCTCTCCTAAATGGGTTAGGCAGTCGAAGTTATTGCAATGGTAGTTGCGCTTAGACCGATTAGGCAGTCTAGTCGTCAATAGGCAGTCTAGGTGCCACCTAGGCACACGTATATTTTTTTCTTATATATATATATTTTAAAATATAACAAAAAAATATATTTTGATTCGTCCTATATATAAAGGTACAATAGTTATAAATTTAAAAACAAAATAATATAAAATTAATATAATAAATACAAGTATATAATATTTTGTAAAAAATTGTATTTACCCATATTAATTAGTGTATTTTATAAAATATATTTATAAGTTATATATGATGGTAAATATAAATTTATTTTAATACGACTACTTAAACCCAGGGGCAGAGCCACCCCAAAGGCTGGGGTGGGCTCCAGCCCGGTCTTAATATTCCGGCTATGTTAATCTTATACTGATAAAAAATAATATTGTAGGCGTTATATTATATTAGTCCAATATTAATCTTATTTTGGCCCAAAAATAAGTTAAATTTGTTTACATTAAATCAATAAATTCTATATTTAAACATGATTTAAGTTTCTTTTCACTTTTCTTTTTAGATTATTATGTCCTTTTGTGTCATTCATGTGTTTATTTTTTTATTATTTGATTAAATAGATTTTATATTAATAGTTTTATTCGAGAAAATATTTAATTGTGTTAGACTTTCATTAGTGACATTCATCACATTTACATGCATTATGAGTGATATATTATGATATTTGGCAGTGTTTATTGTTCGATTGTGCACCATTACGTCTTATTTATTAATCTATGATAGAGGTATCTTTTGTGGTTAGTTTTGCAGGAAATATGCCCGAAAAAACGTTAAAAATGGAGTCGGGACGAAAAACGACGAAAACCAGGTGCAATTGAGGCACACGACTCGTGTGGGACAGTGACACGAGTCGTGTGGTTGAGGAAAAAGAGACGTTTCGTTACGACATTTTCACACGACTCGTGTGGTGTGTGACACGGGTCGTGTGATCTCACACGGGTCGTCTGATCTCACACGGGTCGTGTGACATTGTGACACGGGTCATGTGGACTCACACGGGTCGTGTGACCGGTCGTGTGAGTCTGGGTGTTTGTCGAAAATTGGAGAAAAGCCACACGACTCGTGTGGGTCAGTGACACGAGTCGTGTGACGCGCAGACACACTCGCGAGAACTAGGATTCTTATGCGATTCGTTCCCTTTTTTGACTCATAATTTCCCTACAATATAAAAGAGACTTGAGGAACTCGATTTTGGGACTTTTGACACCATTGGAGGCCTAGAGAAAGCACGAAACACACGAGGAATTCGAGGAAGTCAAGATTGAAGATTCGGGAATTAACGGCGAAAATAGTTCTTCTTTCTTTTCTCTTTTTCTTCTTCATTGAATTTTCTCTTTTTCTTCTTCATTGAACTCATGGATTTATTTATTTTGAGTTTTGAGAATATGTTTAGTAGCTAAACCTTTTAGGGATTCTAGGATTTGTGAGTACTTGGGTTATTTTATGAAATAATTTTGTTTATTCATTCCGATTTATCATTCGTTTATCAATTTCTTGTGCTTATATGAATTGTATGAATATAGGGCCCGTATTTATGCATATTTGTGATTGACTTGAGACCGAGATGAGATAGTTGATTGCTAGAATTGGAAAATTCATAATGTAAGAGACTAAACAGACCGATAGGTTGATAGATTCTGGCGAGGGATCTAGAATCTTAGGAGCTTATGAGAGTTAGTTGTTCATCTTGAGACCGAGAGGAGATAGATAACAATTAATTTCTACGATTTAATTTGTTCGAGAGAAAGGTGTAAATTAATTTAGTGGTTATCCCTACGATCAGTAGAATTAAATATGGTTTGAATGAATAAGAAATCTTTGCTAGAATAATCCCGAGGAAAGCATAGCCTAGAATCTATTTTCTCATTCTTGATTTATCTTAGAAGCCTTCATTAGTGTTAGAATTTATTTTGCAATCATTCATTAGATTAGAATAAAATCACCATTCAAACTTGAGTTAGTCTAAATAATATTTAATTGTCAATATTTTGGTACTTGATTATTTTAACAACAATCTCTGTGGAATACGACATTGCTCGCCGCTTACTATAGCTATACCGTACACTTGCGGGTAGTGAAAGTATTTTACGAACAATTAGAATACTTAGTATGTAATTGAATTTATAGAATTTACAATCAAGTTTATTTATTCACTGAATTTTTAAATAAATTATAGTTGATTGTATGAAATTTACTATTTAATCTCATATATTTATCTGACAAATTCAATGAAATGGCATATGTACTTTAAATGACATGACATATAACAAGAGTTACGGGACTATTACACTGTTTTATAGTAGTCATTTGAATAAAGTATGAATTTTTAATTAAAATTCAAGTACATGAGAAAATTTATCCTTGTACATTTTTAAGAAAATAGGATGAAACAATTAAAATAAATATTTGTCATATGTATAAGAAGATGGTTGAAAATTCACAAGTTATTAGTTCAAGGAGAATCATTTACATATAAAACACGAGTAGTTAAAAAATATTATAATACTTATATTTACTATGCCATTAAGGTAATCTATATTAAATTCAAAAATTATTTTCATACTTTGACTTCTTTAAACACGTGTCTAGCTAGATTTTTCAAATCGAGTATTTCAAGTTCGAACTCGTGCTCATTTAATAAAGGAGTTGTCGTGGCTTAGCTGTTTAATAAACAAACTAGTGCATGGCCCGTGCGATGCACGGAAAAACAATATTTTGATTGTATTATAAATTGAATAAATAAATAACATTAATCATGATTTACCCATTATTTTTAAATTAAACCGAGTTGGACACAGTCTGACCGGAGTTTATACCCAGTCTAGTGCGCTTGAATAAAATATTTGCTATCGAATCTTTGAACACCAGTCTGTTGGACTGGTAGGATCGATACGATTTTCTGAACAAATTTTGTTACATTAAAAATAATTTTAAACAAAATTACATATTTAAATAAAATAGAGATTTATAAATTGTTTATCAATTAATTTAAACATTTAAATTTATAAATTGTTTAGATATTTAAGTAGCACTTTTTATTTAAATTAATTACAAAAAGTACTATATATATATAAGTATTATGTATTAAAATTTGAACAACCACAAATGATTTAATAAAATAACTTGATCGTTTCGATGACGGTCCAGTTCTGAAAACCTTATATTTATCGTACATTAATAAAAAATATAATAAAATAATTATTTTGTTCACATAAATAATAATAAAATGATATATAAATATTCATAAA